ATATATGAAAACCCCAAGTAACATGACGCCAATGTTCCAGGGAACCCTACTTACTTATGAGTGTTTGATGTTAATAAAAAGTGTCTCATTTTCGATAATAAAATGACATTATTTCTCTGTCTGTAAGTCTGTCTCTGTAAGGATGTGATAGGTACAATGGTAGGAGACAGAATTAACTAGAGGAAAATGGAACTTAAACGTAAGAATTCCCTCTGATCTTATCTATTTAGTTTTCTCTTGCGATCTACGTTCCAACACAATGCAATTTTTGGAAAATAAAAACAAGAAGTCTTAATTTGTTCTGAGTATAGGAATTTTCATATTTCGACTCATCCGAAGAACAGAGTCCGATGTGATTATATAGCGAAAAGAGAATAAGTACGTTACGAGAACAATTTCGTAATTCAAACTAAGGCCTATGTAAAGGTGTTTTGAGAATTTATATATCTTGTTTCGTTTCGGAAATATGAAATCGAACAACAGTCGATCTGACATCCACAGCGAAGAAGAACGAACGAAATGTACTTACTATGTGCTGATAACACGTAGTGTTGCACGTAGACTTTTGTTCTACGAATGAGTCGATTTATGGCTCTGACGCAAGACGCTTCATCTAATCGGTTTCAATAATTCAGCGGTAAAAACCCCCCGGACGCCATCACAATAGAATAACTTTACTATGTCGTTGTTCCATATCTCCTCTAAAATTAAACTTCTTTTTAAGAGTGTTATTGAACACTATTTAATAATTATTATGCAGTAATGGTTCAATATGGTGTATTGTCAATAGATTTTAATGTAAGGACCGTCTACAATCGTCTATGGGATGTGAACCGATGTATAGAAATATTTGCAGTACCTAAAAATACCTATTTTTAAGCCTATATGTAATCCCATTTTTCGTCTTACTATCTGACCCTTCAGGCATATTTTCGTTACTAAATTGTTATTTATTTATAAAAGTTCGCGAAGTGTAAAGAGCCTTCCACTCCAACTAGTACTTTGATGTAGGCAGATCCATTTGGCCCTTAGGCCGTGTATAGAGAAACGAGTCTTTGTTTACTGCTAAATACAAATAAGGGGTGTTAAAACTTTACTAGTGGTTTATAAACTACGTACACTTGCATTTACTATTATTGTTTTTTTTTTGGAAAATGTTATTATAAAATATAAATATAAAAAGTTATTATATTATAATAACTTTTTTATAAAAAAATAACCGACCCCAATATTTCGTGGAATTACATATATTTGCTAAGTTTTATTGAAATCGGTTACCGGAAAGGGCGCGAAACCGGATTCAGCTCCTAGTTTACTACCCTCAGAGGCGGAATATTTTCTTCAAATTTAAATGGGACCAATAGTACATAATATCATGTATTAGTACATAATATCGTTTGATTTTCTATGTATATATGTGAGTATTTGATGGAAAAGTCCTATTGTAATACGAAGAAACAAAGAGGGAGTGGGCGCAGAAGAAAATGAGGGACCATCGAGTACAGCGCGTTTATTAACTGAGGCGCAATTGTACAGGGAGAGGCGTAATCGCTGTTACCACCCATGTCGGCAGACTATCTCACGAGGTGGAAGCGGCAGACGACGAACGATGTTGAAAGCGACGGTACTATGAGTTTTCATCAGAGTATCCCAACAAAGGTGGAAGTACCTGAATTGAATTGTAAAAGGTACACGAAGTGGGCGAGGATGTAGAAAGACGCTTGGAGTCTCCAAATGTTCAACGGCTTTTATTGACGTAGTTGTATGATCGACACAGGAGATGTAATTGCGCCCATCCTCGATGTTAGCTCACCGTCCCTTTAATTTAATATTGACCCTCTTTCCAACAAAAAAAGAATCATCGAAATCGGTTCACACAGTCCGGCGTAACATTCACACAAAAAAATACTGTTAAATTTAAAATCTCCTCTCCTTATTTTGAACTCAAAAGGTTAGAAACCTAAAAGTTGATGAATGTTTATCTAGACTTGAGGCAAAGCTATAAATTGTCGAAAAGACTCCTTTCCCACATTCAGTCTAACAAGAAAAGTTTGATAGCGTATTTCCTAAAGTTTCTTTGTTTCTAACTTATTAGCGGAACCTGAAAAGCAGCATGTAGGTTAGTGTAGAGACTCCATCCTTTTCATTGGCACTAGATTCCACATTTCCGAAACTGTTAACTGTTAACCTGTTTTTTAAAGAGAATGAAGCTCTTAATTAGGCATTTCAAATCTTAATGTCAAATAAAAAACAAACGACAATAGGTGTTAATGTATTCTACGTTGCGTGATTTTTATTGAATATCACGATGTTTACTACCATGATATTCAATTATTTTTTGTGGAATTACTCCACTAGTTAGATCTATATATTAATACAAAGACCGAAGACTGACAAAAATTCCTTTCGTTTGGGCTTTATTCGATCCCATGGCGTCGGCATACCGTGCCGCTCTTCCAACAAAGCTACGGAACAAACCAGCAGACCTTACGAATTTTTCTGTAACTGTTGCAGATGTTTATTTTTGGCCAATTATGACAAATCTACGAAAGTCTTTCTTCATTCAGCCAGGTACCTTTACAGCTACCAGCGGCTGATTAGAGATGTCTAATGCAACGTTTGAAAAACATCTAAACTCTAAAATAAGGACTTACGGCCCTTTATCTCTCACCTAATATAACAGATTATATAAAATGTACTATTTGGCCACCATAATTAGGTTTCTTTTTATAATACTTTAAAACCTCAAATGTATAACCATATAATTCTTTAACACGAACTTTGAGCATCACTATGCACTGAATGTGTGTGCAATATCCAGCGTGCATCTGTCGGCATTGCACCCACTGCAATCAATGCACACAGACGCAACTCCACGCTCCGCTACCCCGTATATAAACCTAGCGTTGTCTATCCTTGAACTTCATTTCGCCTCGGCTCCAACACCTCATACACATTGAATTACACAAGTAAAAGTAACGTACGTAACTTACTCAAGCAACATAGAACAGTCGACTTCACAAACGGACTATGGTGTTAGTGAATTATGGTGTGAAATTAAACTGAACTGTGTTGGTGCTGAATTTTTTTTGAAACTGTGAAGATGAAGGCCGTACTGCAAACGGTAAGTTTTTAAAAAAGGAACACTTGAATTAATAACTCAATTTATCTTAATTAGAATAAAATTTGAAACGGTTTTAATGTGCAATAAAGAACATTTCATTCATTCATTCATCTTGTATAGAACCCAATTATTTCAATTATACTATTGCATAATACAATAACAATGACTTGATTGATTGATTTGATTGTTTATTTAAATTCGTAATAGTCTATTGAAACGCACGATGGTATCAAACGCACATTGAAAAAAAAAACTGTCATTAAAGGAAAATATCGCCTTTTCAATCGATTTCAAAAAATGAGGAGGTTTTCAATTCAATTGTATTTTTTGATCGACTTGAAAAAGGAGGAGGTTCTCAATTCGACTGCATTTTTGTGCGTATGTTACGCGATTACTCCAACATTTGTGTACAGATTTCGATTACTTTTTTGTTCAAAATAAGTTATCTCAATAGTGGTCTCATTCAAATTTCAAGAAAATATTCCGTCTCTAAGGGTGGCAAATTAGGGGATGAATCCGGTTTATTAGATTTCACTTACTTTTCGTTAACAAATTTAAATAGAATTTGGCAAACGTACGTAATTCCTCAAAATTTTGAGGTCGGAGCTTTTTTAAAGTTTAGTTAAACAAATTTTCGGAACCCTTAATGATCATTTCCGGTATGTTGAGTTTTTCGTTTAGTGACTGTATTACTTTCGAAGTGAGGTGTTTACGTATATGTATATATGTATACACCTTGTGGTACATAAAAGTCACTGAATCAAAATATACAAACAGTAATTTTACATATCTATATATTAACTGCCTCCGTGGCCGAACAGTTACCATGCCGGACTGCCACGCAGAGGTCCCAGGTTCGATCCCCGGACCGGGAAAAATATTTGTATGGCCTACATTTTTTTCTCTCGTGAGTTTGGGTGTAATTTGTGGTTGTCTATGTGTGTGTCCATGGCACCCGCGACACAGGGTTTCCCTAGTGCGGGGTTATGTTGAGTGTGTGCGTTATTATTACTATTATTATAGCCAACTTAAAAATAGATTAAGTATATAAATAAAGTATACAAAACGTATACGAAAATAAGTATACGAAACTAGAAAAGCATAAAGCCTACGGATATAGAATCTGAATAAAACATGAGAGTATCATGTCAATTAAAATATTTATTTAAGTTTTTATTAATATTTCAGCTAACATGCGCCTAGTTGTACAAGAAGTGCCCTGGACCGTGCAGTGTCCATATCAAGTATTTCTTAGTCTGATTTAAATAATGTTAAAGTTGTGTATATTTTTGATGTAAGAAATAATACCAGGTCATGGTTTTAGAAAATTATAGGAAATGCTCTGTAGTCTTTAAAGTATTTACATAAAATTAAGGTCTGTATATATATATACCGGAATACCTAAATAATAAAAATTGCCACCAAAATTCGGTAGAGAAAACTAACCTGAAAATTACCCAAGTATTCGTATTATTACATACATAATTGAATGAAGTTTTTAGATCGTGTCTACCAAACAATTAATCAATTTATCGTATCCTTGGTGTGATAAGGCCACATCTGGAAAATTAAAACTTTTCAGGAAAGATGTATAAATATTTTAAGAATGAGATTAGTCGATAACTTTTTATGATTAAATTGGACATTTATGACTTTCCAGATGAAAGGATAAGCGGAACTATATACTTTTTTACAATAAGATTCCGGAGCATAAAGTAAGATTATCATTCCTAACTTTAAAGCTTACGTTAAACGTATTTTAACTGAACATATTTACACATATTACACACATATTTCAAAATTGAAGACTACATGTTAGATAAAGATGTATGGAAAGACGACATGAGTATAGATTCCACACAAGTATGATTCAAAGTGTATACCATAGTATTTAAATTTATTTGAAAAGAGTAATTCCTAGAGAGTTTCTTGCTCGTTCTTCTCAGGGAAGTCAGCACATTGAACGAACAATCGCTTAAAAAATGAAATTTTCATGTGTAAAATTTTACTTAAGGAAGAAAATGATTATTTGACTTTGTCATAAAAGGACTTTAGACATATGATCACATGTAGCTTTATCATACCAAAGGTGCGAATTGAACACTTACATTAACATATCAAACCACTCCTCATAAATTATATATTAATCTACTAAGTCATAGGCATCAGGTAAAGTATTGCTCGAGTGTCCAGATGATATGAAAAACTTTCAAATGGTAAAGAAGTCACGGAGAATACTAATTTATAAGTATAAGCATCATATGATTGCTAATGGGACTCTCGGTGTGGGGTTGATGGATTGTAGGTACCTTGGTGTTTTTACTCAAACAATGCATCGGGCACGAGTATTTCTTATACGACTATGAAACAATAACGTGTCTTACAATAAATAATCTGTTGTACAGGAAGTGTTGCTATTCCAATGATATCTATTCTGATTGTAATTTTCACAAAGTGTAAACAATTTTAATAGTTGTTTTTAGCGTTTGCAGTTTTTGTAATCATTATTTGTAAATTTTAATTAATTTCGTAATACTGTTTAGTTATGTTCAGTCGAATGTATATTTTTATGTGGATTACATGCGCATAGGGTTCGCTGATAATGTTATTATGAGTCTGATTTGTACGTCCGTGATTTTACCGTATTAAATAAACTAATAATTAATACGTACCTAAATAACTTTTAAGCAAATGTTGGACAGTCAGCATATTTAAGTTTTGAATTTAAATTTAAACCAGTTACACTGTTTAAAACTCATCGTGCCGTTAACTGAGTACTGTTTCCCCTTTTGATTGTAATAGAATATAAACGGAAGTTAACGTACATATATTACCCATTGTACTTTTATACAAAATGGTATCTTTAATTCCGTGAAAAATTAAATTATTAAAACAATAATAATGTGTCTGTCAATCATACTAATTTGTCGCAAACTAGGGGATTGGGAACACCTAAACCAGGAACAAGTTAGAAAAGTTCATTTCTCAAACTAGTGCCAACCATTGGGCCACCGAGGTCGTCAAAATATCATCTAAGATTCTAAGGCAGTCCAGTTTGTATTCAATATATCCTTTTATAAAAAGCTTCAAAAATGGAGGAGACCTCACATCCGACTGTTTCTGTTTTTTTTTATGGTACACACCATGTTACGCTATTACTCCGACATTAGTAGCAGTAGAGCTCCTTGTGAAAGAGTTCGTAATGTGAGCGTTACTGCGTTCCGGTTTGGAAGGGCACTGGTGACGTTACAGGCACATGAGACTCTTCAACTTATGTCTCAGGGTGACAGGCGCAATGGCAATGCCTCTCAGATCTTTGAGATGTAAAGCTCTGAGTGGCACTGCAACTGTTATGGACAGGCGTGTAGTTTACCCGTGCACGACTTGTTCGTCCCATCACTTGATATTATAAAAAAAAATTGTATTCCATTATTCTTTTTTTATTGGAAAGGGGGTATCTCCGCAGTGGTCCCATACAAATTTAAAGAAAACATATCACCTCTAAGAGTGGCAAATAAGAGGATGAAGCCGATTTGTTGAATTTTATCCACTTTCCCTTAACCTATTTCAATAAAACTTTGGCAGAAATAATTCCAATGAAAATAAAATGTTATGGTGTCCTAGAGGTAATCTGATGATGAAAATGGCAGACGGATGAGAGGAACTTCTTATATCTCATAGTAGTTTTGACGAGAACTTCCACATATACCTTTCAGTTATCGTTGAGGAGACCGCGGTAACGAACTCCGCGAAAGCGGATAAACAAACTTTTGAGGATGGTTTTTTTTTATAAAAAAAACGTTATAATGATTTACTTAATTATTACGTCACTTTACATTAAGGCTCAACTCACACTGGCGCAGAGTTGAAGCGCCGCGACGCGTCATGTTTTTCGCCTACAGTATATTCATCTCAGTTTTCCCATTATTAAGGTACAAATTTGTGAAACGTCGAATCTTGGATGCTTCCTCGAGCTTGACTCGAGCGGCTTCGCGCGTCGACTCGTGTACTTGAGCGCAGTGAGGCGTCCGACGCCGACCACACTGTGATCCGGGCGCACTATAATGCACTACTGCGACGCACTAACGCGAGTCGCCAAGCGTTGTAATTGAAAAACAGGACGCGACGCGACACTTCGACTCTGCGCCAGTGTGAGTTGAGCCTAAGTGGGATGGAGGTCAAATGGGTAGGTACTTATTTTTTTTTATAAAAGAAAAATTTTCTTTCGCAAGTTGGAGCACGTGAATAACGTTTTACATATTAGATTTAATTATTGAAATTACACTTTTGGTACAATTTTTTTATGACATACTACTCAAATTGTAAAGATCTGAGTGGCATTATCACGTGACGGGTGCGCGTCACCTTGAAACATAAAGTTGACAAGTCTCATGTGTCTGTAGTTTCACTTGCACTGGTTTACCCTTCAAAACTGGAAAGCAACAATGCTCATATTACTGCTTCTTCTTATCGTATCGATGGCATACACTGTAATGCTTGCCGCCGTGGTGAAAGGGTTTGCCAATTGGGGTAAGGTATTCGCTGATTATTGTCCGGGTTCCGCCGATGTACAGAAAAGCAATGGTACGTCGTGCGTAGAAGCTTCGGAATTGAAACCAACACCTTCTTTCTACATATGTGGTAATTGGTCATCCTACAAGTCTATCTCTTCTTTCAATTCTTGTTTCACGCTTACTGATAACTTTATACGGAATAAGAATTATAATAAGAATAAGTACAGAATGCACTCAGAACTTCGTTAATGATTTGGCATTCATAAAGTTCATCAACACTCTTGACCACACACTTTTTACTTTTTTACAAGACACACACATGTATAGAAATGTACACACTTGTGCTCTTTATTGTTTATACAAACACTACGGCATTATTATAAACTGCAATGCCTACAATAACGGAGGACCACGATTTCTTGAAGTTAAGAATAAGTTTGATAGTTTTTGTATATATCTTTATTTTTAATTTCTGAAAAGAAACAT